CTCATCCTGAGATTTCCGTCATATCCTCCTTAATAAGATCATTTTTTCTTTTTCGTAAAGGACATTGTCTTCTTTTATCCACGTGACAGGTCATTTCGGCGATGAGTTCTGGGTTGTCAGTATCGGGATGGCCAATTGCCGGAAGAATCATTGGAATTGGGTTGGCGCAGTCCCCCCAATTTTCGTTTCACTTGTCTTTTGGCAGGAAGAGTAAAACGCGGATGTTAGGGGAATTGAATGCGGGAGCGGATGTTTTTCATCTCGGTAAGGAGTGGATGTACTGTTTTAGTCTTTTGAGGAAGGTCGTGGTACGTGAGGTACGTTGAAAATCGATGGATTGTCTTGATAAGACAGTGAAGAAGTGGGTCTGTACATATGGTTCAGGAGGACGGGAGCATTGACAATAGCCTCGTAACTGCAGTGCAGAATTGTTTATATTCGTCATTTTTCATGATTTCACGGGAAAACTCAAGTAGCCGAGAAGCAAAATTCCACTGCATATATATTTTTTTACTTCATATCACGACGGGCTATTCACAGGCGTAATCGTGGTGTCACTCGCTGATGTAATCAATTGTAATCCCAGTGAAATCAATGTAATCATTGTAATCACATGATTACCATATTTGTAATCAAGTTTTGGTAATCACGTGGTAATCATTTGTAATCACTGTAATCATTTGTAATCAGTGTAATCTTTCGTAGTTGCTCCTAGTGAGACCGTGAATTTTGTTTTTGAATTTTCGCGCGCGTCATTTCTACCAACGGTAAGTCTCAGATATCCCTGGATCAATTTTTCTTGGAATCCCAGATGTTTATGGTTCAGAACTTCGCATAGCCAATGCGTTTTGCACAGAGCATTTGTCCGTAGAAAATTGATTCAACAGAGTTAAAATTTCTTCTTATTCTGGAGAACCAACGACTGAATTATCTCTGAATTATCTGCTGGTAAGTTTCACTCTCCATCAATGGTAGATATTCAGTAAATTTATTTTGCTGACAGCACTTATAAATGCCCGAATTTTTAGATGGAGTGATGGAGACTGCATTCCTCTGTTCTAACCCCCGCTCCTCCTTCCTCATCTCTTTGCAGGTTCTAATAATTAATTATTCCGTCAATTCATATTTAATAAGAGGCCATTTTTTGTGATTTCAATGAGTACCGATGTTTGGTAATCACAGAATGTAATCGACGAAATCATTTGTAATCATGTAATCACAGTCTGTGCTCTTGGTAATCACGGTTATCACATAGGCAATGGTAATCAGTGTAATCAGTCCCGTAATCCTGGGTAATCGATTACATTTTGTAATCGCGGTATCACCCAATTTGCCTGTGAATAGCCCCTCGTCATATCATGGAAAAAATACGAAAGAAATAGTGAAGTTTCTCCATTTGCTCAGAAAAATTCACTGTTCATCAGGTAACTTTTCCGGACATAATCACATTTAGTCTGCTAATCAACTTAGTTTCAGACAAGAAATTGCATTGAAATTTTCTATGGAAATTATGCCCATCGAATTTGATTGCCTTAAACTAAATTTGATTGACAGGATTATAATCAATAATTATTTGCTCTCAGTGTTCATCATCCGAGAACGTAAACAGATACTCTGTTCCGAGGAATTTGAACGCAGCGTGTTATGTTTGGGAATTAATTTAATAATTTATTTCAATATTTAATAATATAGGAAATATATTGATCCCACGCAAGCCGTAAATATTCGCTGGTATTCATTGAATATTCGTTGAGCAGTGAGCTGCCGAGGCAGTTCGATTTATCGGATGAGCACGTCTTTGATATCCCTATAATACCCGAAAATGCGTATTCAGCTGAGAATTCATCACTCTCGGACCATTAAATTCTTCTGTTAAGAATTTCACTTCAGGCTCACCTCAAATGGCGAAAAGATACGTCAAAAAGTTCAGGCTCCTTAAGTTCTGCTCGTAAACGTTACTCCGGAATCAGTGGATTATCTGCCCGGCGTCGTGAGTAGTATTATTTTAAAGCGGCACTAGCCTTAGGAGATTATTTTTCAATTGAAGGATTTTTTTAAACTGAACAATTACCCGAAAGATCGATGAGAGTCAGAATCGTAATTTTTTTTGATCATTTAATTGCCGCTTTCGTTTTTCCTCCTCTCCTATCATTTTTTTTTACGGATTCGGGAAAATCACATATGTTGGCAGAAATATTCATACTGTTTTCCATGAATATTCAAATTCATTGGGAATCCAAAAATATATTTATCTGAATTTCCTTAATTTTCATTCATTTTCGTGGAATAATTTCTTAATGAACTTTTCCTATGTAATCGGAAAATTCAGCAGATATGCAGTTAAAACCCAAAATTATGAGAATTTTAACATTATTTTTTTCACTAATCAACAAAACAGGACATCAATTGTAACATCGTTGCTTCAACTCTCGAACAATGCCACCACCAATTTCTCTAAAAAAAATATAATTCTGCTAATCAAATTTGTTTCAGGCAAGAAGATTTATTAAAATTTTGTATGGAAATTATGCGCATAAAATTTGATTGCCTGAAATTAAATTTGATTCACAGAATGATGTTTTGGTCTCAGTGTTCATCATCCGAGAACGTAAATAGCGACGTATTTTTCATCATCATAATCATCATCATCATCGCAAATAGATCGTTTTTCTCATCTCCTATCATATGATTTTTTTTAGACTTTTCTCTTCGTGTCCGATCATTAAAGTCTGATACGGATTCGAGGAAATCACGTGTTGGCCGAAATGTTCATATTGTTTTAAAAGAATAAAAAATGCAGTTCATTAAAGTGTCAACCACTCTTCAGAGCGGTAACTTGTGAATAAATTTCTGAGTCACATGTCTTGTTTGAATTTCAAATAAGGTGAGGATTACTCAAAATAAAATCACTGGAATGATCTATTCTACTGAAGCAACCACACAATTTTTTGCAGAATGACAGTGATGGATGAACCCGCAACATTCAGTGTAATTGGTTCAAGTAGTCTGGGCCATTTTAATTATCAGCATTAGTCATATTGATGTCGTTATTTGTCTCTATCAAAATTAATGGATGGGTATATGTTATTTTAAATTAAAAGGTGTGATTAACTCAATCCTCTATTTAAAAATAGGTGAAATATTTTCGGTCAGCCATCTATTTTGCCAATTTCAAACTCGACTTAGGAAATTTTAACTTTATCTTAGCTTGAGAAATTTTTTTCTTGAAATCGTTTTCTACCGTAATTCGTAAAAGAAAATATATTTTACTGATATTTAAATTAAAAAATACAGGAATTGAATCTATTCAACTGGACTATTGTATGGAATTTTTTAACCCCCCCCCCCTTGCCAGAGAATAACTTTTTTTTTAAAAGACTAAACCTATTTTTACAACGCAAATTTTCAATCTCGGCTCACTCTTCGCATGTTTGACACAAAATAAAACTTTTTTGATAATTTTTAACAAGCGATTTATTCAGCACAACTAAGACTTGTTTGACATTTCTGCTGTTTTTCCCTCAGTATATGGAACTCTTCATTTGAAATTTTCCTTTTCATTTAAATAATATTTTTCTAGAGGCTTGTGTAGGTGTAAAACAGTAATTGTAGCACCAATGAAATAAATTCTATTTTATTCTATTCTAATATTTTTCTTGGATATCAACAACGTCATATTTTCTTTTCAATGAAAATGGTTCAATTATATGGAATAGTATTTATTCGTTCCCAAGGAATTCTCTATTGAAATCAAACAAACAAATGATTTTCGCTGTCTGAACAACGATCTATAATATTTCTCACTCTAATAAAGTCTTTATTCGCATCAAGAAAAGTTGCTTCTGTATTTTTAAATATATTCGATGCGAATGAATATAGAAATTAAAATTACATTCAATTTCCAATGAAAGCTTCATTACAAGCTTTTGAATAAATCCATTCAGTTTATTCAAATAACTCATGCCTCTGCCTGTAATTTCAAAGTTAATTTACGACTATATAAATTCACTTTATAGAATGAAACCCATTAATATTCCAGTGAATTATAAATGATTCTAAATTTTGGACGGGAGCCCTAATATCATTTTATATTTAATGATTAAATCTGACGGAACTTTCGATTAAATGTAGAAAGTAGTTACATTTATATTAAATTGGCTGTTCATTTCCATTTTGCCAACCGTGTTGCTTTCAAAGAACTTTCTAACTCCATTTGTTGGTTAAATTCAGTAGCGAAGTGGTAAAACGGTACAAGTCCATTTTGACTATTGACCGGTTTTCAATGAATTTCAATGAATTTCAAATTCAATTTATGTTTCGATTTTTCTATATGAATATTCTTCTGGAATTTTTCCTAAGTTTTGTTCACTCCGATCCTGTAATACAAAAAAAACAAAATATAGCGGAAAAAAATTACAAAATCCGTCTCCAATAATATTAATGGAAAAAATCTCAAGAGAAAAATTCAAATAGAAAAATCGAAATCTATTGACTTTCTCCTATCAAATATCTAATCCAATCTGCAAAAAAAAACAGAATTTTAACGAGAATTCCCTAGAATTTTAATAGAATCCCCATAGAATTTTTAGAGAATTCCAATAGAATTGAATTGAATTTCTTCATACGTTAGATCACTAATGTTGCGGGATCTACGAGCAAATTTCAGTGAAAAAATCACTGATAATTAGGGTCATATCAGTCAGTGTCCAGTACCACCAATAATGGCTGATAAATTCGTGAAAATCAGTGACATGCCCCTGAAAATCAAAATTTTTTATTCTCTATGAGCTTTTCACATGCAAATGCAACACAGCTCCCTTCACATGACACTGCAAACTCCATTGACATGTAAAAATACCAAGGTCCGACATGGAAGAACTGAATCAATTACGATCCTATCAAAACAATGAATATTCAATATCTCCGTAGGTGTACCATACCACCCGCGATTTGCTCGCAAACCACTAGTTTTGAAAGATAATAAATAATGAGACACTCACGTGGTTGGCCATGGCGCCTGTATGTTCTCTCCTTGCGCTCTCGGCTTCCCGAACAGATGTTTCTGCACCGAACGACGGAATGTTTAAGAATTCAGCCGAGCGTTCTGAAACACGCCATGCATATTCAAAGATTCCGTTTTCCCCAAAGTCAATCTTGCAATTGATAAATTTGATAAAAGTGAATGGAGATGGGTTATGTAAATTACTCACCCCGAGCATGATTGAATGGTTATTATTCCTCGATAATGTGAATCTGTGGTCATCTGAAATGAAAAAGAAATTGACAATTGAAATTTCAAATTTCGATGATTATTTACCCCGTTTCAATTTCAGCCAATAAGTTTGTAAGATTAAACGTTTTGGCTTGGAGTGGGGTTGAACTATTTGACTAATTTTTCCACAATTTCCAATTCGGCGCATGGCGATCAACATTATCGATAAATACATGGGACCCTGATGTGTAATTTATTAAAGTTCACCTGGATGAAAGTCAAGTTTAATTTTCTAGTTGTTGTGGATGGAAATATCAAGAATGTTCCTTTGTGAAGCGAAGCAGTCCACTGAGAAAAGAAAGTTTTTTGAGTACGTCTTCACCTCCGTCAAGAAATTCATGACTTGAAAATTCATGGCTCGAAAACAAGAAGAAAATACACACTGAGAAAAACTTTCGTCATGAGAGTTTGTACTTGTCCCCACAACAAGAATAATTTGTTTATGACGAGAAAGTGATTTCTCAAGCCATGTCTAGTTGAATCCATTTATTCAAAACTTTTTCAGTCTTAAATCCACAATATTTTAATGAAAAAATTACTTGACTACTTCGAGAAGTCGCTTTCTTGTTGTAAAATAATTGTTCTCATCTATCGACCATTAACAATTTATAGAATTTACAATTCTAGAAGTTAGAATTCGGTTGTTAGAATTCTCGGTACAGTAATGGCTTTGTATAAGATACCTTAGGGACAGTGGGAGAGTGGAATTCCGGACCCCTTTAGAAAATTCTATTGAATTTCTATTAAATTTTCTATTAGTTTTTGGCTGATTCTATTGAAATGTTCAATAGAAAACATTCAATAGAAAAAGTCAACAGAATTCGATTTTTCTACATAACTTAGTTTTTTCATATATTTTCTATAGAATTTGCTCGACTCAAATTTTCTAATTTTTTTTCATTCTATTTTTCTTTTCTTCTCATCAAGAAAATCAAACGAAAAAACTTGGAAAATTTGAGCCCAGGAAATTCTATAGAAAATATCTCAATAGAATAACTTATATAGAAAAATTGAATTCTATTGACTTTTTCAATTGAATATTTTCTATTGAACATTTCAATAGAATTGTCCAAAAACTAATAGAACAGTTCAATAGAAATTCACTAGAATTTTCTAACGAGTTCGATAGATTTTTCTATTAAATTTTTTCGTCCGTGCTATGGCTCCACTACGCGCGCCCATAGAGAGGAGAAAAATAGGGATCAGCGGGTTCTGAATAAGATATCTCGCTCGTTGCGCCCGAATTCAATGAAATTTTCATTTTTACTGAATGAATATCGATAACTAATCAATTTACATGTGTTTAATGTTTTGAATTTGTATCGCCCGCGTTCCCTTTTCTCTCAACATAACCCCGCGTGATAGAATGGCAGCTGATGCTGGGGGATTGTTGGTGGACTCGAGAATAATCACAGACGAAAAATTACGATTTTTCGATGGGAACAGTGAACAAAAAATTGATGTAAATTTCCATTACTTGAAAAACGTGGTGTGACCCCCCTTAAGGTCATTAGACCCTCATGATCACTTCGCTCGTCGCTCCCGTTAGACCTTAATACCATTTGATCCTTATAACTACTCTCTTCCCGTTGAAAAATGACCCTAGGTATCTTATAAGAAGCCCACGAAACATGAACATTCGGGAGGCGATAAAAGTGCCGAGAGTGGGGGTAGGCCTCGAGCGCTCGCAGCCCGAGGTATCTTGTAGAGAGGTATCCTATACAAAGCATCTACTGTACTTAAAAAACCTTGAATTCTAGTATTTTTCTCTGAATGATTTTTGACGTTCCATTTTTCATTAGAAATTCTAGTGCTCCATAAGAAAAGGGATGAGCATTGTGAAGGAATGTTATGAAAAAATTGCTCGAAGAGTTGAATAATTTACGAGTCGATTGTTGTCTGACGCTTTTGTCATCTCTGCCTTTTAGTGACAGCAAGAAATGAGAAAATGTTAAACACAGTACATCCCTCCTTGGCACGTGTAGCGCGCGCATAATGTTCCGGTCCTTCACACCCGGAAGGTGATAAATTTTTCATCCGTTATATTTCTCTCTTTTTAACTTCTGTCTTATTCTTTACGACCGGAGATAAAGAATGTCGGTGAATTAATGAGCTTTTTAAACAGCGGGAGATTTATTTATTAGACTTTTTTTTTATCATTTACAGGAAGAGACTCTTGGGAGGGTGTTCTCGCAGTCGTTTTCCATTTTCCTGTTGTCTCTCGGTACAACCAGGTCGAGTTTTCCTGGATGAGAAATGGCGCTGTAAAGCAATTTGTCGGGGTGGATACATGGGGCTGTGGGGGTCATGCCAACCGTAGTTCTCCAGTTGTAATTATTATGACAGTGTAATTGTATAATTCTGGGGTGACAGGCGGGTTGACGGATGGATTGGTTATTAATGGGGTAGGATTACACGAAGGAATAAAGTTTGGTAAGAATTATCCCACCGTTTTACAAAAGTCTACCCTGAGTCATCCTTCCAGCTTTTCTATACCGAAGGTTAGTGAAAATGAAATGGTGCATGGAGATGAGAATACCGGAACCATTGACGTGCTCGCACTCTAAGCAGGTTTTCACGGGTAAGAAAATTTAGTAGAAAAATCTAGAGCTTGCTCTAAGAACTAGTATTCAATTTTTATTAGAACTCCATGAGAATTTTATTTGACTTCTATTTGAATTCTATCGAAAGTATCTATTTTTGCGTTCATTCTATTACAATTTATGTGACGTCCCATCCCGTTTTTCAACAGATGCTAGGGGACTTCGCTTCCTGCTCGCTTCGCTCGCCAACCCCGGGCGGGCTTCGCCCCCCCCCCCGCTCGCTTCGCTCACTCCACCCCATGACCGTGGGTATATTTAGGTTGTATATTCTTGACAGGTGTTGGATAACTGATATCAGTGGCAGTTATGCTCACTGATATAAAAGTGAGATTTATAAAAGTGTTCCCTGCATCATCTTTCCAACTTTTCTATACCGGAGTTTAGTGAAAATCAAATGGCGCATGGAGATGAAAATACCGAAAGAATTGACGTGCTCGCCCCCTTAGCAGGGTTTTACGTGTAAGAAAAGTTAATAGGAAAATCTCAGGCTTGCTCTAAGCATTTCTATTCATTTTTTTTTAGAACTCGATGAGAATTTTATTGGACTTTTATGTGGAGTCTATCGAAAGATTCTATTTGCTTTTTGCGTTAATTCCATTACAATTTATGCGACGTTCCGCTACGTTTTTAAATAGATACTAGGGGGCTTCTCCTCCTGCTCGCTTCGATCGTCAACCCCAAACGGGCTCCAGAAAAAATATCCTATCGGTACAGGAAATTTTACGGTATAGGGGGCAGTAATTTTTGCATCCACAGACGTGTTTTTTTTACAGAACGAATCGTAAAATATCCTCTGCAAAAAATACTTTTTATTGAGTTATATTAATGTACTGTAATTCAATAAAAAGGAAACAAAATAGTAATAAAAATAAAATCAGCTCCACGATTACTTTTCGTATATTAAAATTTGCCACGATTTGCTAGATTATTTTCATCCAACTTTTCTCTCCGTGTAGTATTCAGAAAATACAGTACATCATACACTGAGAGAAAAATCTGAAGTTCGATTTACAATAAGAAAATAGTTGAGGCATTTTGGTGAACGATACGATTTTTTTTTCTATGCGGCGCATAACATTATAGTAACTTCACACACGTAATTTTTGCACATCAAAATGCAGTTAAACTAACCAAAGTTCAAAAGTAATCGCGACAAATCTATCATGAGGGGAACTATAAAATAGTTGCAATGACTACATTCCATTGTAGTAATTACTTCTCCGGCCATAGTTACCGTAAGCCATGGAAAATTGTTGAGGACTTTTTGACTATAATTCGATGCTCACCAAATATCGTTCTAGGTCATCGAGGCATCACCCATTTCGTTCATCCGTTCTAATTCGATTGAGCTCCTCATCATTCAAATATCCGCATGTTTTATTTATGCACCCTCTCTTACATTTCTCTCATTTCCACATATTTTCCCAGATATTCAAATATGTTCCATCATCATCCTGTTCTATCAACCTCGTTTATATTCATTATTTCTGGGCCATCGATAACTCGTTGCACCTCACGGTACTAGCAGATATACATGCTTCGGGATAATGATCCTTAGCTGACAGCCACTGACAACTTCACGAGAATCCATTTACGTGAAAATATGTAAATGAGAATGGAATAGGAATATTCAGCTGCACTGTTAAAAATTTGTGACTGAAAATTTGTGGTACACGTCTTGAAAATTTTTGTACGGAGAAAAAAAGTAGAGAAAAATTACCGAACAAGTCAAGTAGTCATGGAGCAGACTCACTTTTCAGTACTGTTTCACTTTTTATACGGAAAAAAGCGCGAGACGCACACCAAATTTTTCTCCGCTGGCTCGGAAAAATGTACTGAATGTGAGGGTCATTTGTTTGTTGACAAAACTGTAAAATTTACCCTGCATTCCACCAAAGATTATCCCAGTGAACATGAATGTCTACTCAATATCGCGCATAATTTCTCTGTAACGGAGAATGATTTTTTACCGAACGCGTTCAGTAAAATTTCATTTCCATTCGTCCCATGAACTTCAGATCGGTGCAAGAAAAAAATATCCTACTGGTGTGGGAAATTTTAGATGTTATAATTCCTCTGAGAGGTCAAGGCATTTCGTCCTTGTACAATTACAATTTTGTGGAAAAATCAGTGGAAGTTGTAAACTTTACTTTAATTATTCCCTAAAAATTTGAGGGAAATCAGGAGAATTCGGGTCCATATATTTTCGAAATGGGAAATTAAATTAGGTAAAACGTAGTGAATTCAAATCTAATTTCTGTTCTTTATTAAAAATGCACGAGGAAGAAACGTCAGTACTGTACGAACTGCTCCGGCAGGCTAAAAACCAGTCACAAAGACCAAAAGAATATCGTCAGTTAAAGCCAAAGAACCCTCAGTTCGTTTTCC